TCGCACGCCATCGGAGTTCCTCGTTCCACAGCTTGGTGCTACCTCCTCTCTGGGAGAGGGCGTGGTAGTGGTGGCGGTAGTGGTGGTTATAGTTTCACTGTTGTTGGAACGTTGGAATGTTCCGTCCTCAGGTGGTAAGCAGCATACATGGTCTGGGTCACTGCAGCTTCCATCAGGAAGGCTGGCGATGTGAGAATGTTTAGCAGTTCGAACGTCTATGAGTCCAGCTCCGGAGGTGATGATGTGGCCGTCTTCACACTGGAATGACTCAACACATACGCAGGAGGCCGTGGCGGTGAAGTTAGCCACTGTGGTGGAGTTCGGAGGTTCTGTGGTTGGGTCAAGAGCGCAGCACACAGACAGCACCTGGGGGCACTGTGAGTGGGAGTAGAGGATGTCGAGCATCTCTAACGTGGTGTTGCCGCCTCCATCACTTACCAAACGATCACCCGTACAGTTGACGAAGGGCACGCACTCGCACGGGGTATCAGGGGGCAGTGTAGGTCTTGATGTGGTGGTTGTCGGGGGCTCTGGCACACCGCAGCACACGTCGACCAAGTTGGGGCACGTGTCGACATTGGTGACAGGTGGAGTGTCGGTGGCCGACATGCGAATGTCAATGAGATTTTCCCCCGAGGTGCTGATAACGCCATCAATACACAAGAAGTACTTGACACACTCGCAGTACACGGCCTCTGGGGTGGTTGTGGTCGTGGGTGGCGTGGATATTGTGGTTTTCAACCACCAGAAGTGGCCATCAGCCTGGGCGTCCACGCCCACACACACTGCCAACACAACCACCACCAACCACACTACCAGCCGCTGCAACGAGCACAAAAATACTTAATTAACATGAGACGAGCAAAAATAAATATTCTTACCTTCGCAGACACCATTCCACAGCCTTGTCCCTATCAAATACAAATAAAATATTGCTGAAGTCATATTCCTTAGGAAAAGTAATGGTTATTTATTACAAAAAATGGTGGAGGTTGGAACCTCCGTTCACAAACATGGACTGGTGGAGGTTGGAACCTCCGTTCAGTAACAAGGACTGGTGGAGGTTGGAACCTCCGTTCAGCAACAAGGACTGGTGGAGGTTGGAACCTCCGTTCACAAACATGGACTAGTGGAGGTTGGAACCTCCGTTCACAAACATGGACTGGTGGAGGTTGGAACCTCAGCTCAATAAGGAGATTAAATTATTTACTCTGGTAACGAGACTTACCTGCCTGAAAAAAATGTGGGACTTTTAATTATAAAGGCAGAGTGCATACATCATAAGTGTGCTGCTACTGTACGGTGACTTGATGGAGATTATAACTGTGAAGCTGCTAACAGTTACCACACGTACATTACAGGATGAACAGTGAACAAGAGAGAGAGAGAGAGAGAGAGAGAGAGAGAGAGAGAGAGAGAGAGAGAGAGAGAAGAGAGAGAGAGAGAGAGAGAGAGAGAGAGAGAGAGAGAGAGAAAGAGAGAGAGAGAGAAGAGAGAGAGAGAGAGAGACAGAGAGAGAGAGAGAGAGAGAGAGAGAGAGAGAGAGAGAGAGAGAGAGAGAGAGAGAGAGAGAGAGAGAGAGAGAGAGAGAGAGAGAGAGAAAGAGAGAGAGAGAGAGACAGAGAGAGAGAGAGAGAGAGAGAGAGAGAGAGAGAGAGACAGACAGACAGAGAGACAGAGACAGAGAGAAGAAAGAAAGAAAGAGGAAGAAAAGAGAGAAACAGAAAGAAAATATAGAAAGAGAAAGAAAATAAAGAGAAAAAAGTAAAAAAGAAAAGGAGGAAGAAAAGAGAAAGAAGTAACAGAGAAGAGAAAGAGAACAATTAGTATTAAATTTTCCGTGTATACAATGGGACTTGAATAAACCAAGATAACAACACGGGGATCCAGCCGTGTTATTATCTTGAATAAACCAAGATAACAACACGGGGATCCTGCCGAGTTATTATCTTGAATAAACCAAGATAACAACACGGGGATCCAGCCGTGTTATTATCTTGAATAAACCAAGATAACAACACGGGGATCCTGCCGTGTTCCTTATAAAACTCTTCACACTGACTCATGAAATCCTTAAAAAAAAAAAAAAAGGAAAACACGACTGCGAACCAATCCCAGAGCGAGTAAGGTTCGAATCCATGGCAGAGAAGCCCTAAAACCCGCAGCTCAGGGGTTCGAACACCATCTGCTCTGGGATTTCTTTACATTGTCTTAGTTTATCCGTTGAATGTTCCGCAGGTATAATTTGGTGCCAACAGAAGGCTGGGCACCAACAAAAGGAAGGGTGCCAACAGAAGGCTGGGGATCAACAGAAGGCTGGGTGCCAACAGAAGGTTGGGTATCAACAGAAGGCTAGATGCCAACAGAAGACTGGGTGCCAACAGAAAGCTGGGTGCCAACAGAAGGCTGGGTATCAACAGAAGGCTGGGTGCCAACAGAAGGCTGGGCGCCAACAGAAGGCTGGGTGCCAACAGAAGGCTGAGTGCCAACAGAAGGTTGGGTGCCAACAGAAGGCTGGGTGACAACAGAAGGCTTGGTATCAACAGAAGGCTGGGCGCCAACAGAAGGCTGGGTGCCAACAGAAGGCTGGGTGCCAACAGAAGGCTGGGTGCCAACGGAAGGCTTGGTATCAACAGAAGGCTGGGCGCCAACAGAAGGCTGGGCGCCAACAGAAGGCAGGGTGCCAACAGAAGACTGGGTATCAACAGAAGGCTGGGTATCAACAGAAGGCTGGGTGTCAACAGAAGGCTGGGTATCAACAGAAGGCTGGGTATCGACAGAAGGCTGGGTGCCAACAGAAAGCTGGGTGCCAACAGAAGGCTGATCCCCAACAGAAGGCTGGGAGCCAACAGAAGGCTGGGCGCCAACAGAAGGCTGGGTATCAACAGAAGGCTGGGTGCCAACAGAAAGCTGGGCGCCAACAGAAGGCTGGTGCCAACAGAAGGCTGGGTGCCAACAGAAGGCTGGGTGCCAACAGAAGGCTGGGTGCCAACAGAAGGCTGGGTATCAACAGAAGGCTGGGTGCCAACAGAAGGCTGGGTGCCAACAGAAGGCTGGGCGCCAACAGAAGGCTGGGTGCCAACAGAAGTCTGGGCGCCAACAGAAGGCTGGGTGCCAACAGAAGGCTGGGTATCAACAGAAGGCTGGGCGCCAACAGAAGGCTGGGTGCCAACAGAAGGCTGGGTGCCAACAGAAGGCTGGGTATCAACAGAAGGCTGGGCGCCAACAGAAGGCTGGGTGCCAACAGAAGGCTTGGTGCCAACAGAAGGCTGGATGCCAACAGAAGGCTGGGTATCAACAGAAAGCTGGGTGTCAACAGAAGGCTGGGTATCAACAGAAGGCTGGGTATCGACAGAAGGCTGGGTGCCAACGGAAATCTGGGTGCCAACAGAAGGCTGGGCCCCAACAGAAGGCTGGGAGCCAACAGAAGGCTGGGCGCCAACAGAAGGCTGGGTATCAACAGAAGGCTGGGTGCCAACAGAAAGCTGGGCGCCAACAGAAGGCTGGGTGCCAACAGAAGGCTGGGTGCCAACAGAAGGCTGGGTGCCAACAGAAGGCTGGGTGCCAACAGAAGGCTGGGTATCAACAGAAGGCTGGGTGCCAACAGAAGGCTGGGTGCCAACAGAAGGCTGGGCGCCAACAGAAGGCTGGGTGCCAACAGAAGTCTGGGCGCCAACAGAAGGCTGGGTGCCAACAGAAGGCTGGGTATCAACAGAAGGCTGGGCGCCAACAGAAGGCTGGGTGCCAATAGAAGGCTGGGTGCCAACAGAAGGCTGGGTATCAACAGAAGGCTGGGCGCCAACAGAAGGCTGGGCGCCAACAGAAGGCTGGGTGCCAACAGAAGGCTGGATGCCAACAGAAGGCTGGGTATCAACAGAAGGCTGGGTGCCAACAGAAGACTGGGTACCAACAGAAGGCTAGGTGCCAACAGAAGGCTGGGCGCCAACAGAAGGATGGGCGCCAAGAGAAGCCTGGGTGCCAACAGAATGCTGGGAGCCAACAGAAGCCTGGGTGCCAACAGAAGGCTGGGTGCCAACAGAAGGCTGGGTGCCAACAGAAGGCTGAGTATCAACAGAAGGCTGGGTGCTAACAGAAGGCTGGGTATCAACAGAAGGCTGGGTGCCAACAGAAAGCTGGGCGCCAACAGAAGGCTGGGTGCCAACAGAAGGCTGGGTGCCAACAGAAGGCTGGGTGCCAACAGAAGGCTGGGTGCCAACAGAAGGATGGGTATCAACAGAAGGCTGGGTGCCAACAGAAGGCTGGGTGCCAACAGAAGGCTGGGCGCCAACAGAAGGCTGGGTGCCAACAGAAGTCTGGGCGCCAACAGAAGGCTGGGTGCCAACAGAAGGCTGGGTATCAACAGAAGGCTGGGCGCCAACAGAAGGCTGGGTGCCAACAGAAGGCTGGGTGCCAACAGAAGGCTGGGTATCTGCAGAAGGCTGGGCGCCAACAGAAGGCTGGGTGCCAACAGAAGGCTGGGTGCCAACAGAAGGCTGGATGCCAACAGAAGGCTGGGTATCAACAGAAGGCTGGGTGTCAACAGAAGGCTGGGTATCAACAGAAGGCTGGGTATCGACAGAAGGCTGGGTGCCAACAGAAAGCTGGGTGCCAACAGAAGGCTGGGCCCCAACAGAAGGCTGGGAGCCAACAGAAGGCTGGGCGCCAACAGAAGGCTGGGTATCAACAGAAGGCTGGGTGCCAACAGAATGCTGGGCGCCAAAAGAAGGCTGGGTGCCAACAGAAGGCTGGGTTCCAACAGAAGGCTGGGTGCCAACAGAAGGCTGGGTGCCAACAGAAGGCTGGGTATCAACAGAAGGCTGGGTGCCAACAGAAGGCTGGGTGCCAACAGAAGGCTGGGCGCCAACAGAAGGCTGGGTGCCAACAGAAGGCTGGGTGCCAACAGAAGGCTGGATGCCAACAGAAGGCTGGGTATCAACAGAAGGCTGGGTGTCAACAGAAGGCTGGGTATCAACAGAAGGCTGGGTATCGACAGAAGGCTGGGTATCAACAGAAGGCTGGGTGCCAACAGAAGGCTGGGTGCCAACAGAAGGCTGGGCGCCAACAGAAGGCTGGGTGCCAACAGAAGGCTGGATGATAACAGAAGGCTGGGTATCAACAGAAGGCTGGGTGCCAACAGAAGACTGGGTACCAACAGAAGGCTAGGTGCCAACAGAAGGCTGGGTGCCAACAGAAGGCTGGGTGCCAACAGAAGGCTGGGTATCAACAGAAGGCTGGGCGCCAACAGAAGGCTGGGTGCCAACAGAAGGCTGGATGATAACAGAAGGCTGGGTATCAACAGAAGGCTGGGTGCCAACAGAAGACTGGGTACCAACAGAAGGCTAGGTGCCAACAGAAGTCTGGGCGCCAACAGAAGGATGGGCGCCAAGAGAAGCCTGGGTGCCAACAGAAGGCTGGGAGCCAACAGAAGCTTGGGTGCCAACAGAAGGCTGGGTGCCAACAGAAGGCTGGGTGCCAACAGAAGGCTGAGTATCAACAGAAGGCTGGGTGCTAACAGAAGGCTGGGTATCAACAGAAGGCTGAGTGCCAACGGAAGGCTGGGAGCCAACAGAAGCCTGGGTGCCAACATAAACCTGGGTGCCAACAGAAGGTTGGGTGCCAACAGAAGCCTGGGTATCAACAGAAGGCTGGGTGCCAACAGAAGGCTGGGTATCAACAGAAGGCTGGGTGCCAACAGAAGGCTTGGTATCAACAGAAGGCTGGGCGCCAACAGAAGCCTGGGTGCCAACAGAAGGCGATATGGCATTCATGGATCGCCTCACACACTCATTATTACAGATAACAGTAGGACGATGAAGCGCTAAAGCCGCCAGGGTCCTAAAGCACCTAGAGAACGAGAGGCAATCGTGCTTAAGATAAGATAAGATTTCGTTCGGATTTTTAACCCCGGAGGGTTAGCCACCCAGGATAACCCAAGAAAGTCAGTGCGTCATCGAGGACTGTCTAACTTATTTCCATTGGGGTCCTTAATCTTGTCCCCCAGGATGCGACCCACACCAGTCGACTAACACCCAGGTACCTATTTGCTGCTAGGTGAACAGGACAACAGGTGTAAGGAAATATGTCGAAATTTTTCTACCCGCCGGGAATCGAACCCGGGCCCTCCGTGTGTGAAGCGGGAGCTTTAGCCACCAGGCCACCGGGCCACCGGGCCACCGGGCCACACTTGTTCCAAGGAAGTGGAAGGTAGCCCAAAGTTTCATGGAACAAGAGCCTTGTTAACAGTATCAAGGGAGACAAAGGGAGAAAGGTTGGTCTACACTCTCAATAATAATAATAATAATAATAATAATAATAATAATAATAATAATAATAATAATAATTATTATTATTATTATTATTATTATTATTTATTATTATTATTATTATTATTATTATGCATCTTTCACTCCTACTGTAAAGAATAATGAAACATACACGTATCATAGTTAATATACACTGATACACACGTCAATGTTTATAACTTTATATACAAAGACACTTTGTTGTATACACACAAATACACACATCACGGTGTATACACACAGATATACACACATCACGGTGTATACACACAGATACACACATCACGGTGTATACACACAGATATACATACATCACGGTGTATACACACAGATATACACACATCACGGTGTATACACACAGATACACACACATCACGGTGTATACACACAGATATACACACATCACGGTGTATACACACAGATATACACACGTGTATCTATGTGTATATTCCAGGAGCCAGTAAGAGAAAACACAACATAGCTGTGAGAGCAGTTGTCTATATGGCATTACTGTGGTTTTTATCAAGGGACACATGAAACAGCTGAGTGTACATCAAGGGTCTCAGGGCCGCTTTTATTAGTGGTTCAACACAGAGTGCATCCGTCCGTTCGTCCTTCCGTCCGTTGTCGCAAGTCAGGCTAGCTGAGAGAACCTGCAGTGATACCTTAACACTGATGCCCTGAAGATCCCACCTGATTGTAAGGCTGACTGGTTATAGATCAAACCGCAATTAACGGCCGGAGGATAGAGCCTCCATCACTCCTTGCTCTGAATAACCCTCACGGATTAAGGGCTGGAGACCGTCGCTTTAACAATGGTCTTCAGCCGATGTAAAAAAAAAAAAAGCCTTCGTTTAGGACTGGTTGTATATTGTATAAGTGCAGGTATATCAACATCGACATATTGTGAGCATAAAGATATATGCACATTCAAAAAGATATTTTTCACCACCAGTGGCTCAGAACACAGTATATATAGCTAAGAAACGTCGGATGCGACCTAAATAGACGAGTAGATCGACGAGGTCACATGTCACAGAGGAGGTGGAGGAGGGGCCGTATTCAGCACATTACTTGACGGCAGTGTTATGGTTAGGTAGAATCAGGATCATTCTGCTCTCCCCACCTCATATGATCATATGTGCTGCGATGATGCACATACATTGCTCACGTCATCACGGCTGAAGGTATATTTGAGTTCTTTAGCATGTTTGCTATGGTTCTAGCTCTTTTCCCAATGCAGATCTTGTTGCATCCTCTGCAATGGATCCTCTACACTCTGGTAATGGTTTCAATGGCGATGGCTTGTTTCGGTTATATGGAGCATCTCGAGTCTGTTCCACATTCTTCCAGCCATATCAAACACCATAACGTGCCTATTCTATGTTGACGACGCAATAATCAGCTTCCTCAAGAAACTCATTATACAAAATATCTTCATCACCTTCAACAACATTAAACGTAATTCACACTAGAGGAGAATGACAACGGACTGCCATTCCTGGACGTCCTACAGTACACTAGCGGAAGCAGACTGACATTTAGTGAATACAGGAAACAGTCATTATACCAAGAGGGGCATCATCTTAGGTTTCTTTGTTAGGGTTTATAGAATACCCAGCACATCCTTTTTTTCTGAATTGGAGTGTAAGTAAATCACGTACGTCCTCGAAAAGTTTCAGCTCTAATCACACTTTGTCTCTCCAGTGTAAAATGCATGCCTTCCACGTCACCAGAGACAGCAACAAAGACGCAATAGAGAGAACGTCTACCAGGTAAGGTACAAAGTCGTCCTCGTCAGCAGCGCGGCCATCAAATTTCTCCAGCACTCACCGGGCAGTAATATGAAAATAACAGTCAATTCCACGGCCACTGTCAGAGACTCGGTTAAGTCGAAACCAGCCAACACCGTCGAAACAGTCAGGGAAAAGAGTCAGAACCATGCAGACATATTTGTTTTAAGGAACACAAATATGCCTGCAGCTGTGATGACATGAACAATGCAACACCGCAGCACCAGTGGTCATATCATGAGGTGGAGGAGCGGAAATGCTCAAAGAAAAGGGTTTATGAAGACTGGTGCTTTGAACCTTCATTGGTTGCTATTTCAGACACTGTCACTCAAAATTCATGAAATTTTAGCATCTTCAGTATTCTTCCCACAATAATCCTAGGACACCGGCATCAGGTGGCATGGCGCACACGGCCACTCTTCACACCTGTGACCTCACCGATCTACCTCTCTTTTTAGTTCATGACGTCTCTTCTGTAATATATGGACTTTGTTTTCTGTTATCCTATATTAGGAATGAAGGAAACACCAGTGGCGTAAAGTCTCCTTCAATAAATAAATATCTGACTCTGTATGTGCTTTATTTCCAGGGGTTGTTTAAACAAGATGAAGCGGTAAATCCGTAGGTAAGTCATACAACGCCTGAAGAATGGAAGGTAACCAAATCTGAGTCATAGAATAGGAGGGTAGCTCCAGTTCCTTAGATAAAAAGGCTCTTATCAGGATAAGTATGGACCCTATCCCAAGCACAGGACTCGTCCATCTCAATGATCGAATCAGGTGCCGTTTGGTTGTGCGCAAATACTCTAACCTTGCGTTATTATGTACTGGAGTGCGGAAATATTAATGAATTCAGAGACAACTCACTCAGAAATGTTCAAATATGTCAAAGTATTTTATCCACAGTGGTATATTACAGACCATTTTGGAAAAATACCCTGACTTTGCTCCCTGTAAATATAGCATTACCACGTGTGTGTGTGTGTGTGTGTGTGTGTGCGTGTGCGTGTGTATACTTACCTAGTTGTACTCACCTAGTTGTGGTTGCAAGGGTCGATTCATAGCTCCTGGTCCCGCCTCTTCACTGGCCGCTACTGGGTCACTCTCCCAGTGTGTGTGTGTGTGTGTGTACTCACCTAATTGTACTCACCTAATTGTGGTTGCAGGGGTCGAGACTCAGCTCCTGGCCCCGCCTCTTCACTGATCGCTACTGGATCCTCTCTCTCTCTCTGCTTCCTGAGCTTTGTCATACCTCTTCTTAAAACTATGTATGGTTCCTGCCTCCACTACTTCACTTGCTAGGCTATTCCACTTGCTGACAACTCTATGACTGAAGAAATACTTCCTAACGTCCCTGTGACTCGTCTGAGTCTTCAGCTTGCAGTTGTGACCCCTTGTCCCTGTGTCCCCTCTCTGGAACATCCTATCTCTGTCCACCTTGTCTATTCCCCGCAGTAAACTTGTATGTCGTTATCATGTCTCCCCTGACCCTTCTGTCCTCCAGTGTCGTCAGTCCGATTTCCCTTAACCTTTCCTCGTACGACATTCCCTTGAGCTCTGGGACTAGCCTTGTTGCAAACCTTTGTACTTTCTCTAACTTCTTGACGTGCTTGACCAGGTGTGGGTTCCAGACTGGTGCTGCATACTCCAGTATGGGCCTAACATACACAGTGTACAGTGTCTTGAACGATTCATTATTAAGGTATCGGAATGCTATTCTCAGGTTTGCAGGCGCCCGTATGCTGCAGCGGTTTATTTGGTTGATGTGTGCCTCCGGTGATGTGCTCGGTGTTATGGTCACCCCAAGGTCTTTCTCCTGAGTGAGGTCTGTAGTCTTTGTCCACCTAGCCTATACTCTGTCTGCGGGCCTTCTTTGCCCCTCCCCAATCTTCATGACTTTGCATTTGGCTGGATTGAATTCGAGAAGCCAGTTACTGGACCACATGTCCAGCCTCTCCAGGTCTCTTTGCAGTCCTGCCTCATCCTCGTCCGATTTAATTCTTCTCATCAACTTCACGTCATCTGCGAACAGGGACACTTCAGAGTCTATTCCTTCCATCATGTCGTTCACATATATCAAAAATAGCACTGGTCCTAGAACTGACCCCTGTGGGACCCCGCTCGTAACAGGCGCCCACTGTGATACCTCTTCACGTACCATGACTCGTTGCTGCCTCCCTGTCAGGTATTCCCTTATCCATTGCAGTGCCCTTTCCTTTTACGTGTGCCTGATCCTCCAGCTTCTGCACTTATCTCTTGTGGGGAACTGTGTCAAAGGCCTTCCTGCAGTCTAGGAAAATGCAATCTACTCAACCCTCTCTCTCGTGTCTTACTTCTGTTACCTTGTCATAAAACTCCAGGAGGTTTGTGATACAAGATTTGCCTTCCATGAACCCATGCTGGTTTTCATTTATAATCTTGTTCCTTTCCAGGTGTTCGACCACTCTCCTCCTGATAATCTTCTCCATGACTTTGCACACAATACATGTCAGAGACACAGGTCTGTAGTTTAGTGCCTCGTTTCTGTTTCCTTTCTTAAATATGGGGACTACATTAGCTGTCTTCCATTTCTCAGGTAGTTGCCCAGTTTCAAGGGATGTGTTGAAGAGATTGTGGTTAGAGGCACACACAGCATCTCTGCTCCTTCTCTAAGGACCCATGGGGAGATGTTGTCCGGTCCCATCGCCTTTGAGGTGTCAAGGTCACTTAAGAGCTTCTTCACCTCCTCCTCAGTTGTTCGTATGTCATCCAACACTTGTTGGTATATTCCCTCTTGATGTTCCCTTCTGTGCTGTCTTCCCACAGCCCTTCCTGTCTCTACTGTAAAAACTTCCTTAAATCTCCTGTTCAGCTTCTCACATACCTCCTGATCATTTCTTGTGAGTTCTCCACCTTCTGTCCTTAATCTGATCACCTGGTCTTTGACTGTTGTCTTCCTCCTGATGTGGCTATACAACAGTTTCGGGTCAGTCTTGATTCTCGATGCTATGTCATTTTCATACTGTCGCTGGGCCTCCCTCCTTACCTGTGCGTATTCATTCTTGGCTCTGCGACTGATCTCCCTATTTTCGTGTGTTCTCTGCCTTCTGTACTTTTTCCATTCTCTATTGCACTTTGTTTTTGCCTCCTTACACCGTCGGGTGAACTAGGGGCTTGTTCTGGTCTTCCCGTTGTTACTGTTGCCCTTGGGAATGAACCTTTCCACTGTGTGTGTGTGTGTGTGTGTGTGTGTGTGTGTGTGTGTGTGTGTGTGTGTGTGTGTGACCCAAAAATTAATATTTGCACCAATAACTCATTACAGTTGTGACCGGGTGTGGACGTGTGAATTGCTTATTACTCTATAATTTGTTCATGATTGTAACCATGTATAAATGTAAGTAAGTAAATTTACTTACATGATTCATTACCTCTGTAACTTGCTCAGCTATCAAAACTTTGGTGCCCAGTCCTTGGACCCATTATGTACCTCTGTAATCTTTTGACTACCACCCACAGGATGGGTATGGGGTAACTACCGTCCACAGGATGGGTATGGGGTAACTACCGTCCACAGGATGGGTATGGGGTGACTACCACCCACAGGATGGGTATGGGGTGCATAATAAACACATCAAACTAACTAAACAATGAGGTACCAGAAAATCCAGTTGTGCTGGGAAGGGAAGGGGAGGAGGAGTAAGCGGGCACCATATCTGAGATCAGAACACCAGACCTAGAACTGCACTCTCTAGCCTGTCAGAGGAATGGAGAGGCAAGGGTCAAAGGGAAGCTTCATCATCATAAACATTCTCTCTCTCTCTCTCTCTCTCTCTCTCTCTCTCTCTCTCTCTCTCTCTCACTCTCACTCTCACTCTCACTCTCACTCTCTCACTCTCTCACTCTCTCTCTCTCTTCTCTCTCTCTCTCTCTCTCCTCTCTCTCTCTCTCTCTCCTCTTCTCTCTCTCTCATCTCTCTCTCTCTCTCTCTCTCTCTCTCTCTCTCTCTAAAGGTCTTTTTTTCTTTTGTCTCCCACTTCTCCTATTCTTAAACCATACCCTCTCACTCTCACAAACCCAGAGCGACGTGGTAAGTAGGCACAGCAGAACTCAAAGGTTAATTATCAAATACATCAGTAGGTTAGTACCAGTGGCAGAAATACAGCAGGAGACAGAAGTTTGTCTTGATATACAAACTAATAAAACCACAGTTCGTTAATACCAAGAAAACTTCATATTTATTTTAGGGTCAAAGGAAACACTGGGTATACACAGTGATACTTCTTGGGGTATATACACTAAAGATATAGTGTATATACACAGATACAGTTCTCAGTTTATATACACAGTACATATACACAGTTTATATACACAGTTTATATACACTAAAGATGGTAACACAGTATATAACTGCGGAACGGCATACACATCACAAACGTCCTCCTCCCAGTATTACTGTCATTGTTCTCCATGACTGTATGTACAACTGCCTCATTGTCTCGATATAATTATGACTATGATGAGGTGACGACATGTATTTTGGACAGTGACGTAAGTATACAGAAGAAGAAGGATCATAGACACAGGTGAGATTCCACAGTCACTAAAAACAACAGATATAGCCCCACTTCATAAAAGTGGCAGCAAAGCAATATCTAAGAACTGTAGACCAATAGCTTTAACGTCCCACATCATAAAAATCT